GCTCTGCTGTGGTTATTTGCTCTGGTCATTGATCGGCCAGAGTCCAGGTGTCTGCTGGTGGGGCTTGCTGCGGTTAGAGTCATGCTAATCCCGCCGCGAGCATCAAACATGCATCCTTATGCTAATCCCGCCAGCATCAAACACGTGTCCTTATGCTAATCCCACTGGCATCAAACACGGCGCAGGTCACTTTAGTGGAATTTAGATTAAAGCTAAATTAAAGAAACGTCCTCTATGATATCATCTGCAAGGGTCAAATATATATATATATATATATATATATATATATATATATTCACATTCAGGATTTTATGTACCATAAAGGGTACATGATGACGTAACACGCCAGCCCTTAGCATCGCCCCGCCCCTAACAACCAGAGTGCAGTTGCGTCACTGCTTGTCACGCTCAATCACGAGTTTGACAGTTATTAGTTTGACAGTTATTAGTGACAGTTAGTATTTGAGAGAGTTATTAGTGACAGTTGAGAGAGACTCCGCCCCCCCGTGTGTAATTGGGCGTGGTTTAGCGCCTTCAGCGGACACGCCCCCAGACCTCTCAGAGCTGAGAATAATGCTTATATTTTCGTGATTTTGAATCCTAATTTTAGACACTTGGCAACATTTTGAATCACTCACATTTGGCTGGGTGGTTTATAACACATTTTTCTATAGTGTGACAAACTCTCAACACATATTTCCCTTTGGTTTACACAGACTTTAACCGCTCCGCGGAGAAAGAGAGAGCGGCGAACGATCACCGCAGACGTGAGGGCAGAGAGAGAGCGAAAGAAAGGTGGAGGTGAACGCTGCAGTTTGGGGACTTAGGAGGATCAGCGAGCCGGCACACTGCGAGGGCGGCAGGTAAACACGCATCCAACGCTGTAGATTAGAGGGCAGTGAACTGAGGCCATTAACCAGACATCTTCAAAAAATATCGGGTTTTGACGTTCGAGGCAACAAGAAGAAGTTGTGTGGGTGGGTAAGATTATGGCATGGAGTATCTTACATAAATGGTTAAACAGAAAACACACCAAAGAAATACAAAGTCTTCTAATTATCAAGTCTAAAAATATGCATATTTTGATACCCAGCATTTAAAAAGTAAGCATACTGTAGTTGCGTAGCCCAGACTGGAATTATGATTTTGGAATCATGACAATATTGCCCCTCTTCTCACAGATGGTCTCATTATGTTAAATATAGCATCAGAATTACACTAATCACATATTCAATTGTTAACAAAACACAGATTTTCACTTTTCCACTTAAGCCTGTTATCGTCTTAACGGGTGACGCGGAGTCGGAGCTGTACTCCAACTGTAACCCTGGAATAATATACACTGACATTTGTAATGGCATTATTATGTTCGGGTCGCTGGACTTCAGCATATTTCTACTGATAGAAATATGCTGAAATATTCCCCCCCTTTTCTCTCCATCCCACATAAGCAAAAGTGGCCATTGGTGTAAGCAAAAAATGGCTGCCACAGAAAATATCATTTATAATGCACAATGGATAATATTTCTGATTCTCTGTCCACACAAATAAAAAAACACAGAAACAAGCACACATTGCTGTCAGTTCTCTCTCTCTCTCCCTCTCTCTCTCTCTGATTAATTTAGGGCAGTGGTTTAAACTGTGATGTGGGTGGACTTCCTATTTTCAGAATGAGAGCGGCTGTTTGCCCGTGTTTGGTGAGTTGTGGGTGCGTGGGCGTGCACATGTGTTGTTATTAATAAGGGGCTAGGATGTACGTATGTCAGGCTCCGTGTGTGTGTGGTGTGTGTGTGTGTGTGTGTGTGTGTGTGTGTGTGTGGGCTGTCCCTGTGGAAATCACCTGAGAACATCTCAGTCAGCTCCCTCCCGGTAGCGTGGAGGAAGAAAGGAATGAAGGAGTTGGGCGGGGCGGGGGGGCCGGGTCGTGATGCTAACCAGGTGGGCGGGCAGGGGGAGGGGGGTGTGATTACAGAATTGGGTAAAGAGAGAGAGAGAGAGAGAGAGAGAGAGAGAGAGAGACAGAGAGAGAGAGAGAGAGAGAGAGAGAGAGAGAGAGAGAGAGAGAGAGAGAGAGAGAGAGAGAGAGAGAGAGAGAGAGAGAGACAGACAGAGAGACAGAGACAGAGAGAGACAGAGAGAGAGAGGGTGATTGCCTCAACCACTCTCACCTAAATGATGCTGTTAAGCAGTGGGAGAGCGTCAACAACACCGGCGGTATATGCTTCACAATATGCTGTGCGAATTATTACTGTGCAGGAAACACCTGATGGTATCATACTCTCCATAATACTGGCATACACATAATACTATCATACACACACATCTCCCTCCTAACGACCACTCGAGGTCCTTCACTGATAGCGACGTACACATAGTGCATTGTCCAGTATAAGCCAGAAATGCTCTGCTATGATATCACATGGCCCATAACTAGCACTCTAGTAATAATAATCACTAGTACGACGCATTAACTAGTACCCCGCTAAATAAGACTTGCACACCTGCAGGGGCCTCATAACAGAAACAATCCTAACTGCTCATCCTAACTTAAGTTAGGAAACCAAAGATAGGAAAAATCCTAACTTCCTATTACAGAAGCAGTGCCTAACCTAATGTCCATTTCCTATCTTATCTGTGGCTTCCTATCTTATCTTTATTTAGGAAATCCTAACTGTTCTGTCTGTTTTCGACGGCTATCGATAGTTTATGACTGTTTCTGCACTTAGAATGTGCATGAGACTGATAGAACGTGTTACTTTAATGAGCCTGAACTTTATAAACGAAACAGCAAGCTACGGTCATAGCAGGTACAGCTGAGAGGAAGAAGAGGAGGGCTTTTAATTTAGAGACGTAATTCTTCCACCAAATTCAAAATGAAATGTCTTGGCAGGCGATAAAATTAAAATAAAATATGGTCAGGAAAATGTAACGCATCATTATGCGGTCTAAGTAGCCTTTCTGCCATTACATTTCTGTTAATATGTTCATCTTCATTGTCAAACATACCTACAAGCAGTGCTGCTGCCATATTTTTTTCAGTTGGTGACAGTTATTTTGAGTTTAGGACAGGGTGAATGGCAACCTAACTTAGGGATCCTAACTTAGGAAATTCCTAACTTAGGATGGTTCTGTAATGACTAAATTCCTATCTTAAGATACGATAGGATCTCATCCTGAGTTAAGTTAGGAAACCTGCTTCTGTAATACCAAAACCCCTAAATGCCATCCTATCTTAAGATAAGATAGACTTTCAGAGTTAGGGAGTTTCTGTTATGAGGCCCCAGGGGCTCCAAGGCCTCTGGATAGCAGATGTCCCTCAGTCCCTAGACAAGCACCCTCTGGTCATCCACACAGACAGGTTGCATATCTCAGGTTGCATAAATTACAGTTACAATAACAATGTCGTCATCACACAGTAATCGTCCCATGACCTCTCTGTTCATTATGTTTCTCCTATATACTTCTCCATCTCTCCGATTCCCTCAGAGAATCTGACCTGCAGATCCAGAGGTCCACAGTTCAACTCTGGGAGCCCCCGGACGAATGTATCCCAAAAAATTGGTCACGATCTGGATATCATTTAAAAACAAAATCTGGCCAAGTATGAAGACTAACCGACGATAAACACAATGGGGTATAGCTCAGCCACGTGTTGAGTTGTAAGTTCAAAGTTGAACTATATATTCGGGTCGCACTGACTGATTTAGTGACACCTACTTCTGATTAGGTGTAAACTCTATACCTTACCGACGGTTGACATCACGCATGCCTTTAAAACGATCAAAGACGAAAAGTGTTGACTGTTTGATAAAGGAATACGCCGTCTCAAGCGTTGATATGCACCGTCTATGTATAACAGGAACAATATGCATCCCGTTATTGTTTTCGTCGAGGGGATACGGACCAAATGATGAAGACACACACACACAGAAACACACACACACACACACACACACCAGCTCCCGGCTAAATTAGGCATGCGAAACACACACACCCACGATCTCACACAGCACACAAACATAATGGCACAGATCATTCTCCTGAGGGCAGCAGAGTGTGATGAGCAGAGGTTCTCCGTGTGGAGGTGACTCACATGATGCCAGTCTGCTGCTCCCCGCAGCCGGCAGCAGAGGGACACATCGTATTGACCCCCACATAATGAACCACCCTGACATTTATATCAGCCACTGACTGATGTGCATTTATCCCCCACACACACACACATGGGCACGCACCCACGCACTCACACACACACACACACACACTCATACACACACATACACACACACACCATCCCTTCCCTCCCTCTCCTCCTTCCCCATGGTCAACACCCACACACACACACACACACACACACACACACACAGCCTCAGACACTGACACTCAGGATGCTAGACATGCACACATGCGCACACACACACACACACACACACAAACAACACACAAACAACACACACACTTAGACTCAGACTCCCTATCTCTAACCGAGCAGCTTGTCTACGCCGGGCCGCTCCCTGTGTCAGTGGTGGGCTGGTTAAAGGGCTCGTCTGATGCCTGCTACAGCGGGCAGATCAATGTGTTGGCAGGTGAGAGAGAGGGAGAGAGGTGAGTGAGTGGGAGGGGGGGGGAGGGACCTGAGAGAGGAGAGGTCAAAGTGTAATCGAGGCACGCTGAATAGCGAATGAAAAAGAGAAGTAGAGAGAGAAGGTCGCGGTGACAGGGAGACGGATAGGCTCAATAAGACATATATATGATGGGCAGACAAGATAAATGAATCAAGGCATTGTCTCAAGGATAAGAACTGTAAGGGAGGGACGGCCTTGGCGAGAACCGAGCCGATCCAGAACATCGTCAGACGGATATATATATCGTAACCCGTTCGCCGGGTCGGGCTCGCAGCGTTTTTCCTGACAAATCTTTTCTTTTACTCAATTATTTGTTTTCTCCGTCTAACACTGTTATCAGGCTACCGGCAGCGGCTGCACATAAGTTATGATGGGGCAGAATAGTCTAGCGGTTAGAAGGCGCTTGGCTCCCAAGCAGTTCGGTTCTGGGTTCAAATCCCAATGTCCGCAGAGTACTTGGGTGGGAGGTGGGGGACTCTAGTGGGATTGGAGGCAGTATGACAGTAGGTTGACAGGCGGGCAGACGTGTGGCCAGACGGACGGACAGACAGACAGAATGATGGACATACAGACAGAAACAGATAAGACGTTCAGACGGAGAAAGAGACAGACAAACAGGCAGGCAGGCAGACAGCCGAACGTACTCTCGTCTGGGTTGGGTGAGGCCAGGATGGCGCTGTGCTTCCTCTTGACCTCTTCCACCTTCTCCGCCAGAGACTCGATGAACCCTCGCAGCTCCTCCACCTGAAGAGAGGCAGAAGAAGAGAGGGAAATAAGACGAAGAGAGAGAGCGAGAGTGAGAGTGAGAGACAGAGAGAGAGAGCGAGGGAGAGAGAGAGACAGAGAGAGAGGGAGAGACAGAGACACATAAATAAGAGAAACAGACAGGATGGGCGACAGACGGATAGAAATAAGACGGAGAGACGGAGGGAGAGAGAACAAGATGGAGACAACACGCTTTTAAGAGTGCTCTGCATGCTAAGGTAGGCAGCATCACCAGTAAGGGTGATATTAACAGATATTGGATCAATACGGCATTATCGTATATACGAGATGCTGAGTGCTGGGTGCAGTGGGATAATGATCCACACGATTCCTCATCGCTCCACTTTCCGAAGAACCGCAGTCTGTATCTGTCGTATTGCTCAGGAGGAGAGTCATCATCACCATATAAACATGTTAACACAGACCCAGAACTGAACGCATTGTGCAGTACAGTACTGTACAGTAATTGGGCAATCAACAAGTTGTCCCACCGGTACCGAGATCCAACTAGATGGATGAGACATTGGACAAACATGTTGGCTCCAACCGGGTCGAAGCGGTATCCTCAGCATATTGCCGAGCCGTCCACTTCCACTCAAGGCGTCATCAAGGTTGTCTGCCTTATTGTATTGATCCATCCGTATATACATCACTTGACTTTATGCTCTGCAGCCGCCACAGATGACTCACAAAGTGCAGCCGGCTGATGCGGCCCGCATTGGAAATCTGATGCCCATTATGTCATGAGTCCTTTAAAGTCCAGACAGCCAGTGGTGCGCGGTGGCTGGCGACCAGCTGAGATCCGGGGCCCGGTATTATTTTTATGCCGGCTGTCCATCTCCGCCCGCCCGGGGACACAGCTGATGAACTACCTGGTGCGGCCCGCCCCCCTCGCTCCCCAGCAGCTGTGCCAGGTGGTCACATCTGGCCGCGGAAAAACTTTGGCGCCCGCGTCTCCTGCCGTCGAGTTGCTTGCACTCCGGTGCCAAAATCACCTCGATCACCAATCACATGTATTACTTGATCACCAATATGAGCATCTCTACAACGATCTGAACTGCTGCTGGGTTTGGATCACTTGGTCACTAGTCTCACAAATCGAAAGTCGGATAGCGGATGAGAGAAAGTCTGGGTGAAATCTGGGCGATCTATTTCATTCGCTTCGTATTTGTTTCGACCAATCATGTTGCTGGAGGCGGGGATCTGTAAGCGCGTAATTGGCTATTAACAGCGAACACAAACACAGTTTCTGGTTTCTGACCCAGGCTCTGTGCGGTCTCTCCCCCCAGAATTTCTGCTATTTACTTTGATATTCTGCACTTAGTATTTTCGCACTTATCTCCTTTGTATTCTAGCAATCGGTTAATTAGCAATTGGTATGCTTGAAACTCATCTTGTGAAATCCTTACTCTACTGATAGCGGTTTAGTGTTGCACTTTCTCCTAACAAATGTACTTATTGTAAGTCGCTTTGGACAAAAGCGTCTGCTAAATGCCCTAAATGTAAACGTAAATGTATTACATGATAGTAGGACTGCTGGATCCCAGATGACTTAGTCACATGCCTTACATGCTCCGCCCCTTTACAGTCCTCCATACTGTCCGTCAATCTCCAATCACATCATCTGTTACTGACAGGTTTGGATCAACAGGTCACGTGTCTCCTAAGCTCCGCCCCCTTCCTTTCCACCATACTGTCCGTCCGCCTGACACATCGGTTCCCTGGACTTATCCCGGGTCATTAAGCTCTCATTATCTCCTTAATTAGCTGATGATTGGATCTGTATTTTATTAAGCGCTTAATTGCTCTGGAAGCGCAGTGTGCCACCGTGGGACCGAGCTGTAGGTACGCCGAGTGTGTGTGTGTGTGTGTGTGTGTGTGAGTGATGTGTTTCTGTTAGCGTGTGTATAAGCGTGCCTGTTGTGTGTACTTATTTAAGCATCTAAGCGTGGGTGGATCTACAACCTTGCGTATGTGCGTGTTTGCGCGTGCGCGTGTGTGTATGTATGTATGCTGATGAAAGAGGACTCGCCGAGAGAGGCCAGAATAGAGAGAAAGAGGTTGGAAAAGAAGGGAGGCATTCGGGGAAAAAAAAATGGTGTGTGAGCAGAACATGAAATGAACTCACGCCGTCTCGGAGCAGAGACCATGAGAAACTAACTCAAGCTCACACGCAGACTAGAGCAGACACACACACACACACATACATACATATACAGGTATAGACAGACACACAAACATCTCACAGATGCACACAGTCATACACATACAGTCACACACACGCATACAAACACACTTGGACAAAAGGACCATTGCGGTCCGAAGGAGGTAGAGATACACACATAAATTTCATACTCATACTCATACTCTCACACACACACACACACACACGCACACGGATGACTAGGGACAAATAGAGGAGCCCAACAGCGGGTTAAGGCCTGGGCTGTGACTAGCGCTGCCATCTGTGTCCATGCATGACGGTGCGCTAAGCATGGAGACGCTTCAACACTTATGCACCGCGAGTCCGATGACATAACTCCCCACAATCTCTTAAGGAGGCACATTATGAAACACAAAAAGATGGAGAATAATATAAAGACGGCACATTATGAAACACAAAAGGATAGAGAATAATATAAAGAAGGCACATTGTGAAACCAAAAGGATAGAGAATAATATAAAGAAGGCACATTATGAAACCAAAAGGATAGAGAACAATATGCGAACGGACAGATAAAGACAGATGGACACAACTGCGTATTATACACAGCGTGTGTACGCTGCCGAAATGATCACACTTAATCACAAAGACAAACACAGGTGTTTGGAGGCAAAGCCACAGAGAAACTACACATCGCTTGTACATCCACTGGATTAGCACCGTTAGCGTGTAAACAATAATCTGTTGGTTATCTTTTCCATTTATCGCGTCGTGTCCTGTAAAATGAGCAAAAAAACCTAAAATCTATAGTGTAGCGTCATGTCGATTTCTTAATGATGGAAAGCAAATATTTACACTTCTCTGTAAATCATTTATTAGTTTTACTTAAAGGACATAATGACCTAAATGACCAATATCAGCACTATAATCCAATAATTTTCCAACTGAAAATCGATCAGGCAGACCGCTGCAGCGCTCCGCTGTATATCCAGCCTCTAAAGGTCTCCAGTCTCCAGTCATGTGATCATGTGAGTGGAGAGCAGAGTGCGTCTCCACTATAGAGCGGCCCGGCTGCCGTCTCCCCGCCGAGTCCTTCATTAACAAGCCCAGTCGGCGTGAGAACCCAGATCCCGCAGGCTCTCTGCTTAACCTGCTGTCTCCTCTGACTCTGTATGTCCTCTACTTGTCTGTCTCTCTCTCTCTCTCCGCAGACAGCATCTGTTTGTGTCTTTGTGTGACTTGTGCAATAACGCGCGGCGTGTCAAAGTAGCCTTTGAATCAGACCTTCCGACGAGAACGCGCTAAAATCGTCATTGTAATCTCGAAGCGACTTGCAAAACTCATGCACGCAGCTGACACCCGGGTGCCACGGCGACGACGAAGACGACACCGCGACCGTTGCCGAGACGACGTTCCACAGCATCAAAGACGAATGCCTGCGTGTGCTTCCCCCCGCAATACGGATCCATAAAAGAAGATGGAGACGTGTTTGACGGCGGCGGTAACGACAGCAGTCTTCACTCCGGGCCGCTTCCTCCGGATCAGATGAAATACGCCCCTCACTGTACTTCCCTCCGCCGTCGCATTGGGAAGACAGTCAAATTAAAGGGGCATTAGGGAGGATATTTATTTTCTTATCTGACAGGCAAAAAAATCACACGGTCAATTTAGCCCGGGTGTAGGATGATGTGAGTGAGAGCTTCACAGCGGGCCTCGCTCGCCCCCAAAGTGCAGATGATGTCAACCTGGTGCTGTGCGGGAATTAGCCCCCCTCCTGAGACGGAGGCCAGTGGTCACTTTGTAGGTGGTCGCCGTGTGCACTCACACACACACACACACACACACACACACACACACACACTCGCTAACACACTCACAAATAGACTCGCCAACACACATTCCCATACGCACTCGGTAACACACAACACACACACACACACACACTCACAAATACACTCGCTAACACACACACACACACACACACACACTCACAAATACACTCGCTAACACACACACACACACATACGCACTCGCTAACACACTCACACACACACACACCTGCACACACACACATATACACACCTGCACACACACACACACACTCACAAACACTCTTACAAACACACACACACACACACACACACATATACACACACACACACACTCACAAACACTCTTACAAACACACACACACACACACACATATACACACCCGCACACACACTCACAAATACACTCGCTAACACTCACACACACACACACACACACACACACACACAGTTCACACACACCAATTCAAAGCTTTAAAGGTAACAATCCCCTGAAACCGTGTCGTCGAATCGGTTCACTTTATGTCGGCATCCACAACTACTCCACAACAACACAGTCTTGGCTTGGCAATCAATAAAAGCCTTTTCAGATGAAATAAAATACATAACGACCCACTCGATACAACAGCATCAGCGGCCGCGTCGTCGCTATAGCGATAAACCAAATGGACGCTCCCCAGACGCCAGAAACG